TTTCTTTAACCAGTCATCTGTTCTTGGGCATTCAGGTTTCTTCCAGTTTCTGGCTATTGTAAAGAGTGCTGCAATGAACAAACAAGTGCAGATGTCACTTCGACTATACATTTTTGCCTCTCTGGGATATATTCCCAGGAGTGGTATTGCTGGGTCAAATGGGAGCTCAATTTCTAATTTTTTGAGAATCGTCCATACTGTTTTCCAGAAGGGCTGAACCAGTGGACATTCCCACCAACAGTGAAGGAGTGTCCCTTTCTCGCCACATCCACGCCAGCATCGGTTGCTTTTGTTCTTTTGAATGTGGTGGCCCCAACTCTTAATTCTTAGTCTTCAGGGGGTTTTCTCTCTTTGTTTGTCTGGGGGCCATGCCCGGCAATGCCCAGGGATTACTCTTTGTACTCAGAGGTCACTCCTGGCAGTGCTTGGGGAATCACCTGGGAATCAAATTCAGTTCAGCCATGTGCAAGACAAGCCCCTTCCCCTCTGTACCATCTCCCCACACCCCCCACTCACAGGGCACATACTGTATGTAGTACCACACCGTTAAAGCAGCCCGTTATTTCTCTTTAGGACTTGGGTCAACTGCAACATGTCAGCTCTTTTTTCTTGCTGTGCCTGCAACCGTAAGATTGGTGTTGAGTAAAACTGAACATGAGCAGGTGCTTGGTAATACATGTTGATTTACTGAGCAAAGGGAGCATAGGGAAAATATTTTTTTTAATTTTTTTAATTGAATATCCATGAGATAGACCATCACAAAGCTGTTCATAGTTGGGTTTCAGTCATACAACGATCCACCCATTCCTCCACCATTGTATATTTCCCACCACGAATGTCCCGTTTCCCTCCCACCATCCCCCAAAACCCCACACCCCACCATCCCCAGCCTCCCTGTATCGGAGTCACTTTCCTTCCTGTTCACTCTCTCCTTAGGGGAAATATTTTTAAGATCCAAATTGTCCAGTTCTCCAATTAGAAAAAACATAGATGTTCAGAGATCATAATAGATTATTACAGCAAATTTTAGGTTCTTTTGTAATCGAAGTCTATTAAGAACTTGAATCTTCATTTCAAAACAGACATTGTTCATTGACCCCTATAATCTGGGCTGGAGCGATAGCACAGTGGGTAGGGCGCTCGCCTTACAAGCGGCCAACATGGCCGACCCGAGTTCGATTCCTCCGCCCCTCTCGGAGAGCCCGGCAAGCTACCGAGAGTATTCGATATGCCAGACACAGTAACAACAAAGTCTCCAATGGAGACGTTACTGGGCCCGCTCGAGCAAATCGACGATCAACGGGAGGGCCTTTTTATAATCTCATGCTTTTATTTTATTTTGTGTGTGTGTGTGTGTGTGTGTGATGTGATGTGTTCAAGCCACACTCTACAGCACCCAGGAATTACTCCTGGCTCTGTGCTTCGGTGTCACTCCTGGTGGTTCTCAGGGACCATACGGGGTGCCAGAAGTGAACCCGTCAGCTCTGTGCAAAGCAAGTGCCTTACCCCGCTACTATCTCTCCAGCACCTAACCTCAAGCTTCTATTTTGTCTTGTGTTTTGTTTTGGGGTGCAAACCTAGGCTGGCCCCATGCAAGGCAAGTGTGCTACCCACTGTACGATCTCACCAGTCCCCCCTAATTTCATGCTTTTAACTGTTTAATTTCATTGAGTGTTTCTGTAAAAAGAGAAATAGCTCAAAGGGCAGGAGCACAGGGCTTACACGCATAAGGCCTACAGTCGGATCCCAGAAACTTTACCCAGCACTTTCAGGAATGACCCTGGTGTGCCAGGCAACACTGGGTTTAGCACCAAACTGTCAGTGTCACACCAATGGGTGAAGAATCACTGGGAGTGGCCCTGGGCCTTCTTCTGGAGGCCTCTATTTTTGGGGGGTTGTGGGGCAGGTTGGCAGGGGCAGGCATACCTGGTGATACTCAGTTACTCCTGGCTCTACATCAGGAATCACTCCTGGCAGGGTTTAGGAGACCATATGAGATACTGGGGCTTGAACCCAGGTTGGCCGCATGCAAGGCAAGTGCCTTACCCGCTTTACTATCTCTCTGGCCCCAGGCCTCTACTTTTTTTTTAAATGTTGCTAAAATTACTAAGTCCCCCCAAAAGTTTATTATTTGTCTGGGTCTCTGTAGGAACTATACAGATCAAATGGACAGTGGGTTTTCTTCCACGAGGAATATACAGTCCAGAGAAGAGAATATAAACATGACATTTTAAAAAAAGGGACTAACGGTTGTTTTAGTGACCATTTCTGATAGCACACTTATTTTATTCACTCTCCAACTCCATAAAGTTACTGGGAGCTATTGAGGTTCTTGAGGTCTAAATAAGTGAGCAATTGCACCCCAACAGAGAGGAGGGAAGCTGTCCCAAATTTTGTTATTGTCCAAGGACACTCTGCAGAGTGTTGTCCAGAGGAAGTGCTGATGTCATCACTTAAGAGCTGCATTGTCGGCTGGACTCAAGTCTGCTCAAGACAAGGGTAAGTATTTTATTCCCTGAGTTTCAGTGAAAAGGCAAAGTGTTGGATCACTTATTGGTTTCTTATTATCAGCTACCAAGAGAAAAGGGAAATTCAGCATCAGTATGTAAATGGGTTTCTGAAGACACACTTGGATTTTGTAACTTAAAAATAAGGTGCTGACAATAGCCAGGACCTGGAAATGACCCAACTGCCCAACAGAAAATGAGCATTGCTAGATGCAGTCCTAGAGAGACCTGAGCATTGCCAGGCATGGTCCTGAGGGTGCCCCTGCTCCTCACCCCCACCCCCACCCCACCACCTGCCTGACAGAGAATAGCCAGTGGAGCATCTGGGTCTCAAGCACCACTGGGAGGGTCTCCTTTTCTTACCCACAGAGAAAGAAAAAAATTATGATATACACAATGGAATATGGCTAGACTATGGGGGAAAATGAAATGTTAAAGTTCAGTGTAACTTGGATGGAACTGAAGGATGTCCCACTACTTGAAGTAAGATGAATGGAAAAAGACAGATACTGATCTCACTCATACCCGAGTAGAGAGAAATAAACCCAGGGAACAGACATCCCTGAAGGGAACAAACCACGAGACATTGCTCGCAGAACTGTAAACTGAGGTTTCAAACAAAGGCGTTGGGGAGAAGGGACCTTGGGACAGTGGTGGAGGAATGGCTACACATGGTGAAGGTGGTGGAACAGTGTAAGTATAAAACTCTAAATTTAACGTTACTATAAGTCATGATGCCACAATAAAATAAACAATTTTTCATTATGTGGTAGAGAAGACCAGTTAATTGGCCATCAATTAAATTTTGATAAGTAGGAATAACTAAGAAAGTAAGAAATTTGATGGAGATTTGATAAACTCAAAATAGGTGTCTGACTATGTCTGCCATAAGGAGTTGGAATCTGTAATAGAAACAGATTACTATTACTATTGATATATCATTGTTGTTTCTGGTGACTTGTGTCAAAGTCCACTTGCATAAATTTCCAGTCTTGCTTTTTCTCATTACTAGCAAGTGAGTACCCAGGTGGCACGCCTGGCTGTTGACTATCAAATTATTCCTTATTTTAAGGGATTGGCTTATTTACCCAATCTATAAAAGTAATTCAAACCAATACCTTATGTATTTTACTCTCATTTTGATTAGCTTTGATACTGTCATTGACCAAATTATATAGATGAAAAGGAAATAACTTTCTCTGTTTTGATCCATGGCACCCTGTAAGGTCCTCCAGCATGGGCAAGAGTGATACCTGAGCACAGAGCTAGGAGTAAGCCCATGCCCCCCGCCCCAAATATTTTAAAGTAAATCACTTCCTGCGGCTGGAGCTATAGTACAGCAGGTAGGGCGTTTGCCTTGCACACAGCTGACCCGGGTTTGATCCCCAGCATCTCATATGGTGCCCCCAGCACCACCAGGAGTAATTCCTGAATGCAGAGCCAGGAGTAACCCCTGTGCATCGCTGGGTGTGATCCAAAATGCAAAATAAATAAATAAATGTAAATCACTTCCAAAGCCAACTTTTTTTTTTCCATTTCTCTCGGAGATCTATGTTTTGGTTCTTATATGGAAATCAGTAACAGTAACTGGCATAATAAGGAAAATAAAATATTGAGGAACTATACGCCTACATGCAGTTACTTCAAAACTTAATATTAGTTTGGTTAACCCTTAAAAGTCAAGGGAAAAGATCTATATTTGCACAATTGACAAAGAAAACTTTCAATTTAATTACTTGCACGACTAGCTTGTCTTTTTTTGAACGAGGTCTTACCAAACAGCACAATTTGCCAATCCCTGGAATTAAACATTCCACATCTCTACTCGAGGAAGAACCCAGTCTCATCACCCCAAATAGGTCTTTAGCTCATGAGAAAACCGGCCGGCCCTGGGCGAGAAAAGCAAACCCACGTTTTAATTTGTAGTTTACAAAATCTACATTTCAATAACAGCCACCAGTGCTTAAAATACACAGCACAAACGGCCCACTTGCCCAACAGCATCAGGGTGCGACTTCATGCATGCACGCACGATCCACCTAGTTGAAATGCGAAGTTGACCCGACAGACAGAGAGGCAGTTCTGCTGGAGGCCCGCACGTAAAAGCAGCGGACGCTGTCCACTCATCCCAACGGGACACAGGGGGATCAAGTGATCGCTTTATCGCAGCTCTTCAACGGCACCAGAGCCTGGTCCTCCCCCACCCCCAGCCCCCTCGGAACTGTTTTTACCTCCAGGTCATCCAGACGGGGGACAGGTGGGGGCTTTATTTATTCCTGGCAGCAATGAACCCCACTCGGGAGCCCCGCTGGAAATCTACAAGACCCCGGCAAGGAAGGCAAGACGGTCAGCGAGAGCCTTGCGCCCCTCGGGCTGGTGCTGGGCGTCAAAGTCACTGCAAGTCCGAGCGCGGCGGGCCGCTCCGAAGAGGGAGGGCTGCGCGCCCCGGGGCGGACCGCGGGGGCCCGGGCCGTGCCCAGGGGGCCGCGCCCCCTAACTGGCCATCCGGAAGGGCTCGGGCTGGACGCCGAAAAGCCTCTGTCCGCAGTGCTCGCCCTCGGCGCACGGAAGGCGACGGTCGCGGTGCCGCGCGACCCAGTCGCGCTCGGCCTCGGCCAGGATGTGGGTGAGGGCCACGATGTAGCTCAGCGCCATCTGCAGCGTCTCGTACTTGGACAGTTTCTTGTCCTGGCCCCACTGGGGCACCACCCGGCGCAGGCGGTCGAAGGCGGAGTTGAGCCCCTGCATGCGCCGCCGCTCGCGCGCGTTGGCCGCCAGGCGCCGGCGCGCCGCATCCTCCGGGCGCCCGGGGCCGCCGCACGCGCCCGCCGCCTGCCCGCCCGCCCGGCCCGACTTCATCCCGCGCGTGCAGTCCCCGCGCCGAGCCCACCCGCGTGCCGGCGACCCGTGCGGGGCGCGGCGCGGGGGACGGGGCTCTCCTCGGCGCGGTGCCGGCGGCGCGCGGCGCGCGGGGGACCCCGGGCTGGCCGCGTCCTCCCGCGCGGGCACCGCCGAGCGCCTCTGCTCCGCCCGTCCGGTCTGGGATGCCCCGAAGGAAGTCCTCTGCCCCCGCCCCCACGCGCGGAGGGGAAGCGGAGTCGGGGCAGGGGTTGGTGGGACCGGCTCGGGGAAGGCCTTCTCCAGTCCTCTGGAAACCCCGGGGCGGCCGGCGAGTGCCTCTTCTGCACGGTGGGGTCCCCGGCGCTTTGCATAGGACCCGCGCTTTTCCGAGCCCCCCGCAGCAGCTCCGGAGCGAGGATCAGACTAGGATCGTTTCTGGATTTTGCACGCCGGAGGAGGCTCGGAGCGAGGGGGATTTATAGCAGAGGGCGGCAGGAGGGAACAGGTGGTGGCAGGTGGGCGGGCGCCCCTCCTTCCATCTCAGCACCTTCCAGCCCTGGGAACTGCAGGCGGGGAAGCGAGACGACGCACAGCAGCATCCTGACACCACGGCCCGTCATCTGTTGAAGCTCGTTCAGAGCTCGGTTCAACCCCAGCACACCATATGGAGTGGCCCGGCTGGCCCCAGAAGAATAACGGCGTGGGGGTCGGGGAGAGCTGGGTGCATCTTTTCCCACGTCGGCGGGCAGCTTCCCTATCAAAAACTCAAGCCCAAGTTGTTAAATCTTTAGTGACTCTGTGTGTGTGTGTGTGTGTGTGAACATATCTGTCTTGGAATCAGGAGGTAATACATCACAAGTTTGGCAGGAATTTTAGCTATGTCAAGATGTGTGACTGCTTGGGATAATGCCCATCTTTTAGACTGTTCTTTTTACTTTAGCTCTTAAGTAATTTGAGACAACTTTGTAGGTCCTAATATTATCACTGAGTCCTGAGATGTTACTGTGCAAATGACTTTCCTGGTTTCTGCAGGATGATTTATTATAGCATTAAAAATGGTGTGTTTTGAAAGTATGCTGTTCTAATTTTTTACTTGAGTTGCATGAGTCCAGATACTTGAGTAAATTCATTTAAAAAGTATACTCCATTTCTTCTGACACAAGTTCAAAAGTGTTTCCAGGACACATCTCAAGAGGATGATCAAATTCAACTTGACATTTAAAAATAATAAAGTTAATCACAATACACATATATGTGAAAAAACATAAGCATGTAAGTAATTATGAAGTTTCCAAATTAATTACTAGTGAAAATTCCCCTGCGTGGCATAAAGCTATAAATATTTCACATTATTCAGGCATTTCATATGTATCAACTAGGCTCAGAAACAATGACAAGCACGACTTCCACTCTAGTTAGTGACAAACAGAAATCCAGTGACTTGGTTCCTGTCTCAAGGAAGTGTGAAATGGCAGAGATCAGCTCCACCTAGATTCAAACTGGGATCATTTCTGAATTTTTCAGGAAGACCAGACGTGCTCGTTTTCCTTTAGAAACATAAATTATGTTGGCGATGCTCTTAGATATTTTTGCTTAAATCCACCGTCGACAAGCTCTCATGAATCCTTAACTGTAACTTGCTTCATCCCACGTTGCCTTACCCTGAAATCCCATTGTGTCTGCCCTGACTCCAAATCCTGTCTGCCCATAAATAGTTGATTAATCCCCAGCTGAAGCAATGACAATGAAGCAAAGTGAAGGAACACAAGGACAATGGGATGCAATTGAAAATTAATGACCTCTAGCATGACAGATGTTGAACACAGACTTTTTTTTGCACAGAGTCACTCAGCTCTCTTGTCGAATCTAACAGCCATGACTAGTCACGCAGTGCAGTATGAGGAAAGATTGTGATTTACACACCCATATCTTAAATATATTTATTCTTTTGAATTTTCATGGAAATGTGTACTACCAATGCCAGTGTTTTTTATGTTCATTTATTCCATTTCTTTCTCCCAAGAAGCCCCCTTCATATGACTCTTTCGAATGTCTCTCTGCAAAATAGACGATGTGCTTTTTCTGGACACTAGATGTTGATAAAATGTATGTCTTTGCAGAATGTGTGTTTGCTATTAGAACTCTTGCACCATGTAGTCTAAATCAATAGGTTTTTGGTTTTTGTTTGTTTGTTAAAAGAAAAAAGGAATATTACTATATGTAGTTGCACACAGCACAACTATTTTAGCTGTTTTATTTTCAGCCACACCTGGTGATGCTCGGGACTCACTCCTGGCTCTGTCACTCACTGATAACTCTTGGCGGTGCTCAGGAGTACAGACACAGTGCTAGAGTAGAACCCAGGTGGGCGGCTTGCAAGGCAAGCACCTTATTCTCTGTACTATCTCTCCCACCCTCACAACTATTTTGGAACATAAACTAGTAGATATTTAAGACAAGAAATTGACTCAAGGATAGGTAATATTTTAATAAAGTTCCTCAAAAAGATCTAGAAACATTTTTCAAATCTACTCTCAAGGACATTCACAATTTGTTCTGCGAAGATCCTTCTGGAAGAAGAGTTTCAACATCGTGTAAGTTTGGGTAATGTATCTACTCTCATCTGCTTGGAAGAAACGGTCACGGTCACGGTCCTCCCATTGTTCATCGATTTGCTCGAACGGGCCCAGTAACATTGTGAGACTTGTTACTGTGTTTGGCGTATTGAATGTGTTATGGGGAGCTTGCCAGGCTTTGCTGCGCGGGCGAGATCCTCTCGGTAGCTTGCCGGGCTCTCCGAGAGGGGCAGAGGAATCAAACTTGGCTCGGCCTTGTGGGCCGCTTGCAAGGTAAAGGCCCTACACACTTGGAAGAAACATTTCTGAGAAATCCCGTATTAAAGATAGTTACCAATATCAGCATTTCCTAGTCCTTGAACACTGAACCTTCATTTCCTAGAAGGCCTATTAAACAAAGTTTCTTGAAACACAATTTTTCAAACTTCTTCTAGTACTTTCCATTTATTTTTCTAGAGGAAGAAACTAGAGACTAAACACAAATCTCAAAAGCACTAAACAATGCAAGACATCAAATCTCCTGTCATCTGTGTTTACAATGAGATCACTTTTATGAAGCCCCTTAGCTCATAATAAGACAACTGATATTCACCAGTGGTTTTGCAAAGTCAGGTAAAGCACAGATAAATTTAGAGCAGTATTTGGGGTCAGAGCAATCGTTCAGCAGGTAAAGCGCTTGCCCTGTACAACGACCAACCTGGGTTTGATTCCTAGCAGCCATATGGTCCCCCACACACCGCCAGGAGTAATTCCTGAGTTCAGACCCAGGAGCAACCCCCTGAACATCGCCAGGTGTGGCCCAAAACCAAAACAAAATAAAACAAAAAAAAGTATTAAAATGTTCTGCTTAGAGGATAAGGTAATTCATCTTATATCTCGAGCTCCTCAGTCTTAGACTGCGTGACTGAAAAAATAAATTAGATAAAAGTAGTGGGAATGAGTACTGACCCAGTTAATAACCGACAAGACTGATCTACATTCCCTCGCCTGCTTTAAAGAAAAAATATTAATATTTTAGAGAAAAAAATTGTGGAGACAAAGAGATAGTAGAGGAGGAGAGTGTCTTGCCTTGCATTTCACTGGTCTTGGTTTAATCCCAGCACAGCAGATGATTCCCTGAGCACTGACAGGAGTCAATCCTCAGCACAGGCTTCTTGGCATGGCCTAGAAATCTAAAACCAAAAATAAGCAAACAAAAGTTTTGTTTGTTACACAGTTTGAATGCAGAATGGTTTCTTTCTTAACGAAGGATTGATCCGTCAAAGCACTTTGCCGCGGTTTAATGCTCAGCACCAGCATGGCCCCCCAAGAGTAGCCTGGTATGATCTGAAAAGGAAAAACATCTAGAGTTAGACATGCTATGAATCTCAGCTATGTGATTTAGGCAACCCAAATAATCTCTCTATGCCTCTTACCTTATCTCCAAAAGAGGGTTAATAATAGAACCAACCTTATAAATTGGTATGAGGATAAAATTACTCAGTAAAGCACTTAGAGCTATACTGGCACACAATGAAATATGATATACATCACGGTCCTCCCGTTGTTCATCGATTTTCTCGATGCGGGCCCAGTAACGTCCCCATCATGAGACTTTGTTGTTACTGTGTTTGGCATCTCGAATACGTCACGGGTAGCTTGCCAGGCTCTGCCATGTGGGCGAGATACTCTCGGTAGCTTGCCGGGCTCTCCGAGAGGGGCGGAGGAATCGAACTCGGGTTGGCCATCTTGGCTGCGTGCAAGGCAAACGCCCTACCGCTGTGCTATCGCTCCAGCCCATGATATACATATGCTTGTTTTTTTTTAAAATTTTTATTTATTGAATCATCATGAGAACAGTCACAAAGCCCTTCAGTTTAAGTCTCAGTTGGTCATACAATGATCAAACACGTTTTCTATTGCTGATTATAAAGAACATATGATGTCGCACAGCCACTGTTGCAGCCACGTGATTTTGGATTTCTGATATTTTGCTAATAAATCTAGGATTACTGCCAAAAGCTGCTGGGTTCTGAGATTGGTTTCTGTGCCTCTGGGATCATGGTCGTTCAGGAGCCAGAGGAGGCGTTCGTGGGCGGCAATTCAGAGCCTTGTCAGGGAGGGGAGCAGGGCAGGTTCCATCCCCATCTCATGAGCCCCCTCAAGCTTTCTCACTGCAGTCTCATACCTAGCTGTCTAAAAGATGGTGGCCACCATGCCACCGCCGCCAGTGGGGAAAGGTGGAGGGACAAACACCCTTCCCCTCCCGGGGCAGCCTAGCGCCATAGTTCAACGCACAGTCCAGATGCATTTCAATTGGACATAATATTTTGCTCAAATTTTCCCACCACCGTTCAAGCTTGCCTTCCAGGGACAGATCATTTACTTTCCATGACTCACTTTGCATATCAGGAAAGGTTCGGAGGAATAGTCCTGGTGCCCACACGCCAGAGCCATGCTTGT